ATTGTATAGAAGTCTATGAGAAAATTACCCAACTTCTCACTTGATTATTACATCAGTAAACATTTTCCTGATGAGTTTATGGTCTCAATGTCTAGTGTCAAGTCTTCTATATCACAGCATGATGTTTATTTAGTAAATGATTGTCCCATTTAGTGTCAAATAGACGATAAAGCAGCGTATGAATCAGGGCGGGGCTACCTTATGATTGACAGGTTTAAAACCTACAATTATCTGTACACCAGAGTTCCCGTTAGCCGGTAATTACCGGACTATGACCGGTAAAATATGCTGAAGACCGGCAAATCTAAATCTCTCCGGTCAAAATGTCCGGTCAAAATTATTTCCCCTTAGCGCAATACCGCATCAGTTGCGCCACTTATGTGACAGACAAGAAGAGTATGTGACAGACAAGAAGAGTATGTGACAGACAAGAATAGTCAATTATAATGTCTACACTTAATGTGGAGAAAGAGATGTCCTGTATGGGTTGATTGTGCGTTGATCTGTTGGTAATGCCTCCGGTGGGCATGTAAACAAATGCATAATGCTGCGCTATACTTTGTGGCCTCACCCGGTTGCATAGCAACGCTTATTGTTTAGGTGTCTTTTAATAAGCAGGTAGTCATATCATTAGCTAGAACTAGCTAGATCTGATCGATATGGACACAAACGCGAGTAAAGTCTAATCTGACGGGAGAGAGAGATCGGCTGCTGCTGACGAGTCGACACGCAGCTCTGCATGATCCCCTGCAGCGGTGAGCGGAGCAAAACACACTTCAGGTTAGATCACCACACGTAGCTATTTTAATTACCTCTCAAACTACCTAAACTAGTTATAGATATGTTTAGTTTTACTGTCGGGTCACTCATTACTGGATCCGCGAGCTGCATGATATTGGCGTCAGCAGAGAGAGAGCGCTCCGTTTATTATTCCCGTGTTATTGTAAATTACTGTACACTTTTGAATAGTTAATTAATCTACTATAATTAGTTTGTTTAATATCGAATCATATCAATTTGTTTCAAAGCTCAATAAATAACATAGAAGACCTTTGACCGGCACTTTTCAAATTTTGTCCGGAAGATTTAAACTGTAACGGACCTGTTGACCGGCAAATAATTATTCTAACGGGAACTCTGCTGTACACTTTTGGTAGCTTCAACATTCCTTCTTCAGTGTTTTCTCCACCTTCTCATGTCACTTTTTTGTACATTTAAATGTGGATGCATTGGGGAAGTAATAAGAACAACGGCGACGATTATGAAGAAGGTTCAAAATCACAAACCAGTCATAAAGCAAAGAGATAAACACAGATACAAAGAGGAAGGGGAGAATCTGTTACGTGGCTTTTACTCAGAACCCCATCCTGGTCCATGTGTTGTCTATTACCTCCTGCTTCTTTGTTTCTGCCCTACTTCCAGCGCACATACCCGCCGTGCCAACAACACAGCAGCCAAATTAATAGGAAATACACTCACACTCACACTCACACTCACACTCACACTCACACACTGCGCTGAGAGCCAGCATCCCTGCTCCCAGCTGGCGTGAGTACAACACACTGTTGCTTATCCACAGAGCTTCCACCAGAGGCTATTTTCCAATCAAATCAAAAGGAGGGTTTAGCAGGTAGGCCGGGTCTTTGTCTGCGCGCTGCATGGATGAAACGGACACTATGAGAACGTCCTCGCTGCTTTCTGAGACGCTTTAATCCACTGGCACTGTAATCCGCAACATAATTACATTACAAAAACAAAAGATGCTAATCAGACAAGGAGATTATTATCAAATTATAACAAAACAATGAAAGCTGCAGATCTCGTTTGTTGTCGAGTGCGGACACAAAGCGGCACATTACGTGTCCGGAGGGAAAGCAGACAAGTGCATTTTTTGGCACAAACGTCAAAAAATATAGTGGTTGAGCCCAAAAAGACACATAAGCCTTAAAAAGCCGGACTAACATGGCTCTTTAGGCGAAGAGAGGTTCTCGTTACAAACCCACATGATATGAAACATCCCCTCCATACAACACATATTGTCCGCATGTCTCAATTACAGCCTGAATTCCTCTACACACACACACACACACACACACACAGGAAGGCTCAGAGCAATAACAAAGGCCTTTCAAAGAAACCCTCAGCAGGTTGAGATAAAATGTTTTCGCTCGAACTGATAAAAAGCATCTGCAGCTGAGATATCTGTGTGTGAGTCGGTATGCAGCACGCCACACACACACACACACACACACACACACACACACACACACACACACACACACACACACACACACACACACACACACACACACACACACACACACACACACACACACACACACACACACACACACACACACTACTGTTGGAAGGTCTCCTCCTCAGGCAGCAACTAACCATTACTTACATACATATACATCTGAGGATTATTATCTAGAACAATTCTTTAGTTGGTAGTGAAACATTTCCATAAAAGTTTGTCTATAAATATCTTGTTTTGTGAGTCTGAAACCCAAATATGTTCACTTTAATGTGATTTAAAACAGAAAAGTAGCAAATCTGCATATTTGAGAAGATAAAAACAGCCTTTTCTGACATTATTGCATGAAAAATGACAAATAGTAGGAGATTATTTTCACAAATCCATTAGTTTTCTACTTTCTGTTCTTCACCTCAAATCGCTTTAATCTGCATATTATTTCCTAATTAATAGTTTGGTGGTCTGAAAATAGTAAAAATGTCCATCCCAGTTTCTCAAAGTAGAAGTAAATGTCTTCAAATATCTTGTTTTATCAGTCCAAAACCTACATATATTCACTTAATTAGCAGCAAATCGACATATTTGAGAGGCTAGGAACTGCATTTTCTGAGATTTTTGAATAAAAAATGAATAAAACGATAAACCGATCCAACTAGTTTGAGATTTGATTTACTAATTGCTGCAGCTGTATTCTCCGCCTTCAATCAGCTGTACTTGCTGTGTGTGTGTGTGTGTGTGTGTGTGTGTGTGTGTGCGTGTGCGTGTGTGTGTGTGTGTGTGCAGCCGTTCTTTCTCCATAACCAATTTATTCACGGTCATGCTAACATCTGTTCTGCCGATTCAGCGACTTCTGTACTTCGAATTATGACTTTTATTAGCTAATTTATGGCGGGTAGAAATGAAACACGAGCCTGCATTCCACAAGTGGGATAAATATGGATATGGAAACAATTGAAGGCCTCCCTGACAGAGGAATGTGCAACCAGAAAATTCAGCTTTTAATCAACAAAGGTCTCACTCTCCTAATTGGAGTAATCATAACATTATGCAAATTATAATCTGGGGTTACATTAGTGAGTTTATTACTGAGATATTAAATGTTTTCATAAGAAGACTTTGAGGAAACGTCGTGCACCTGACTCCTTTTAATCAAAATGTACTTTTTGGATATTTTATCAAACTTAAATATATCAACCTTTACTTGTAATAGCTTCTAGATAACGGTGTTTTCATAAAAGGTGGTTATTCTACATAATGAGTACTTTTACTTTGGGCACTTTAAGGACTTTTTTATGCTTATAATTCTGTGAAAACGTTGGTAAAAGTTTTGTACGTGCTTCTAAAAATGTGGTCAATTTTCCATCAGAAGGCCAGTTTATAAGATGTAGAATTAGTGCTATACAATGCTTTAAAACGATATATTTGAATGCACTTCTACACAAGCTTTTGAGACAGAGTTGGCTACAGCATTTGGGAAAACAGTAAAGTGAATTGTGTCTGTGTGTGTGTCTGTTACTCACAGAAAAAACTGACAAAACTTTGGACCGTCTTTCAAAGCACTTCCAGACGAGCTAGTGTGACGATTTTGATAGAAACTGATTCCTTGGATTTTATAGTTTCGTGTCATTTAAGGCCAACTTAACTTATCAGAAATCAGCCTTCTAGACAAGCTATCGAGACACGGTTGGTATCGAAGGATTAGTTGGATTTCATAGTGTCGTGTCATTTAAGGCCAACTTAAAGGGGACCTATCATGCAAAATGCACTTTTTGATGTCTTGTATAAATATGTGTCCCCAGTGTGTCAGGGAACTCACGCAGCGTCAGAAAATAAAACCCTCTCTCTTTTCCTCCGTACCCAAATCTCTAAAAACGGGGGAACAACGGAGCTGATCCAGATTAGTGTCCGATATGACGTAATATCTGAAATGTGGACCCACGGCCCTATCAGAAACGTTGCTATCAGAAACAATGCACGACTGTTTTGGACGTAATATGGTCGGTGTTTACATTAGCATCGCTAACACTCAGAGCTAACCTGTACTGGAGAGCATGTGTGTGAAGAAGCAGGAAATAAAAAGGAACTCACCTTGTGGTATAACCGGCAAGAGAGAAAGCCTTTGAGCTCCATACTGTTTCAGAGATAATCCTTGATAATCCATGATATGGCGTTTCATCACGGCAGTATTTAGTTTAGACAGTAGCTGCCGGGTCCCGCATGAGCTCAGCCCCCTCCTTTTTTATCAATTTTTTTTTTTTTTTTTAAAAGCTTTATACCCCAAATCAGCTCTTTTGAAACAGGAAGTGAAATAGAGGGATATGAGGCATGGCTCGAATGGGTGATCTGTTTGGTATTTTGAGCAAAACACTTCATAGACATGTTTTTTATATATTTGTATATATCTGAGACCTATGCTATTGCCTAAAAATAGCATGATAGGTGCCCTTTAACTTAGCAGTTAGAAGTGGTGTGTTTTATGTGGAAGAGCAACAGCAGAAGGACTGAGCGACACATTTACCTATCTTCTTCATTCTTCATTGTTAAATTCCCTCTCCTGCAGTGTGCTCTATGAAGTTAATTATGTCTGTGCGTGTCATGTCATTTAAGGCCAACTTAACTTGGGTTAGGGTTAGCTATCGAGACGAGGTTGGTATCAAAGGATTCAGTGGATATTATAGTATTTTGTACACAGCTTTTCACTATGTTTTCATGGACAATTGTAGCATGTAATGTGTCTCACCTGGAAGCCCTGGATGCGGGCCAGGTAGTCGAGCTGCTGGGCCGGCTGCACGTTGACGCCGCAGTTCTTCCCCTTCAGGTGCAGCTCAGCGTTAGCGGGCGTTTGTCCGTTCAGAAGCATCTCTCGAGCCATGGTGGCCGTGGGGCTGGGGGACGAGGAGCTGAAGTACGGAGGCATGTCTTTGGATGTCATGTAGGAGTTACCGGAGTTTCCACTATTGTTGATCCCCGGAGAAACGCCTCCTCCTTGCTTCCTGCTGGCCTCCATCTCCTGGTAGACGTCCGGGCTGAGGTGGAGCAAACCTTTCTGGGCTGGAGGAGGAGAGAGAGGAGATGACGGGGAGAAAAGAGGAACAATTTAAGTGTTGGGTGGAAGGATAAACGGACAGAGATGGAGGGGCAGCAATAAGTACAGATGAGGTCACATGGTTCATATAAGAGCAGAAAAGGGAGGAAATCGTAGGACAGAAAATGGGTTATTACTGCCGTCTTCATTAACCCTTGAACCACATTTCTCTCACAGCTACGTCACGAAATAAGCTTTCAATTGGGATAATTGGAACCACAAAGCAATTCTTGCAGTATTTTACTTTCCCCTGCCTGCTTCCTAAGTAAAGTAAAAGCTTCAGAGACGACACAGCGTCGCTTATCTGGAGCCTGCAGCGGCACTTTTCTTGTTAAAATGGCACTTTTGTGTGTCTAATTGGACACCAAGTTCCCCAAAAATATGGCGTTTATGTCTCGTTTTTTACGATTTAGCCCTTCGTCTTCACCTCCTATAACCCAGGCTTTTGGGAAAACTATTTCCATGTCACCATAAGAGGATGCAGAAAGAACTCAATCTGCTGATCTTAAATAATAAAGTGCATAGGAGAAGCATTGACATCTTTTTTTAATCAAATGCAAAAATTCAATAGAGGATTTCAAGAATCGAGGCCACGCCTACTCACAACCAGACAATGATGGAGAGTGTGTGTGTATGTGTGTGTGTGTGTGTGTGTGTGTGTGTGTGTGTGTGTGTGTGTGTGTGTGTGTGTGTGTGTGTGTGTGTGTGTGTGTGTGTGTGTGTGTGTGTGTGTGTGTGTGTGTGTGTGTGTGTGTGTGTGTGTGTGTGTGTGTGTGTGTGTGTGTGCTGGCTCCTAAACTGGCATTCCACGGCTGAGCGTAGATGACAGTTTCATGAGGTTTGGCAGTTCTGAGCACTATCAAAGTGTCTGCTGGGAAACACACACACAGCCTCTTTCTGTCTCTCTCAAAACACAAACGGAGCATCCACCAATATCAACAGAGCGCCCATGACTTCACCGCTGATGGGAAACAGCACCGGCGAATACACCGCATCTTTCTTCACTTTGTGACGAACCCAGGAGCAGGAGACGACTCGGATCAAGAGAAGGGATATTTTTGGTAGCTCGAGGAAATGTCCCGAGGGATTTGGATTCTTCCCTCGATCCAAATAAGCTCACAACGATGAACTAAAGCACCAAATCCAGACTAGAGATCTGATTCTGATGGAGCGAACACAAGTGTTTAAATCACAGCTAGATACCTTTTCACTATTTTAAAGCTCTTGTTTATTGTCACATAGTCGGATCCGGACCGAACTGCAAATCAATCCGGACCGAACCCTGTATCCCATTCTGATTCTGATGTAAATTAATGTATATTTTCTTGTGTCTGACGCGTTGTGAGAATGAACATGCATATATATTTACACGCATTGCAGACCGCAAGTTAACCGCAAGTTTACCTTGACTTTCTAATGCCTTTTTTGCCGAGGTTCAAGGCATTGGCTACAGACAGACAGTGCCATTTCTCCCACTAGTTCAAGCCACCATACTGTATGTATGTATTGAATGTTTGTGTGCATACAGGGGCGCCGTTTGCCGACAGGCAAGGCAGGCAAGTGCTTGGACCAGAAGGGGACCCCCAAAGAAGGTAGATTAAGAAGCAACGACAACATTGCCAGACTCCGACCGTCACTCTCGGAGTCGGTTGCCGAAACCCTCGTGCATGCATTTGTCACCACCCGCTTGGACTACTGCAATGGTGTCCTGTTCGGGGTTCCCAAAAAAACCCTGGACAGGCTCCAGTATGTCCAAAACTGTGCTGCTAGGGTACTCACACACACAAAGCCGTGGCAGCACATCACTCCCACCCTCATCCACCTCCACTGGTTGCCGGTCAAGTCCCGTATATCTTACAAAGTCCTCCTCCTCACCTACAAGTCCCTCCATGCCCTTGCCCCCCAGTACCTATCGGACATCCTTCACCCACATGCCCCACCCCGGAACCTGCGGTCCTCAGACTCTGGCCTGCTCACCACCCCCCCGCACCAAACTGCGAACCTTCGGGGACAGAGCCTTCAGTGTGGCAGCCCCCACCCTCTGCGGAGATTCGCAACATCCCCACACTCGACGCCTTCAAAAGGGCCTCAAGTCCCATCTGTTTGCCAAGGCTTTCGGCCTCTAATCGATCTGTTGTTTTGTCTGTCTGACTTTTGTTTTATTATGTCTGTTTTTGCCCTATTACTTACTTTTGACCTTGGGTCCCTTGAAAGGCGCTATATAAATGCAAGCTATTATTATTATTATTATTATGTAACACCCTTTAATTTACGGCAACGACATGTCGGGAAACCCCCTCAAGGGGTCCCCATGCATAGCGCGCCGTAAGAAACTGCTTCTTAATTTCAGTTTCGTTGCTCCGGGGGGGGGCGGGGGGACTTTACTGGCATTGATCCGGACCAGTGACCTATAATAAAAAAGTTTGAGTACCACTGGCCTACACTATAAAGTACAAGTGGGAGATTAGTGTGTGGTGGAGAGACACAGGGGTTTTAGCCTTTGCAGACCATTAACATGGGTTAGGGTTTCCAAAGCCTATAGCACACACTACAAGAGAGGGGAATTGAGCTTTAAATGTCAATGGTGGGATTTTTTTAACAGGATCTGTCAAGGGAAGAAATATTTTTGGTAGCTCGAGGAAACGTCCCAAGGGATTTGGATCCTTTCCTCGATCCAAATAAGCTCACAACGCTCCACTAAAGCACCAAATCCAGACTAGAGATCTGATTCTGAAGGAGCGAACACGGGGGTTTTAGCCCTTTGCAGACCATTTACATGCACCAAAACCTATAGAACACACTACAGGAGGGGGAGTTGAACTTTAAATGTTAATAATTGGACCAAAATACTAAACTCAGGTACATATTTATACATAATTCTGTAAGAAATATTTATACTGCGATTTCGATTACATTTGGATTAATTGAACATGCCCTGATCCAAACCATTTGGATGCATTTCGTGTGTTTGTGTTGGCGTCCTCAGGTCTGACGTCACTTTCCTGAAACAGTCGTGACAGGTGGAAGGAGGAGGAAACACCGACGGGGTGTTTCACTATTTTCCCGGCTATTGTGAAAGTAGAAAGGAAGAAATATGATATGTGGAAGAAGAAGAAGAAGAAGAAGAAATGTGAAAACCATGCGCAGCCTCCGAAGCCCAGCCAAGGTCACCAGAGACAGGAAGACCAGCTGTGTGTGTGTGTGTGTGTGTGTGTGTGTGTGTGTGTGTGTGTGTGTGTGTGTGTGTGTGTGTGTGTGTCAACAGCTGGGAGAGAAAGTGCTTGACTGACAGGCCACTTCCTGTTTGAGTTAACATTACCATCACAGCGACAGAGAGCTTCGTATCTCTCCTGTCTTTATGAACACTGGAGAAAAAGCAGTGAAATTCAGGACTTATTACTCATACTACAACAAACCGATGACACAACACTTAGGATTCTCTCCCCAACCCCCTTCTTCCCCATCACGATGACAACTTTAATTCGAATTTACGCAACTAAAACTCGCAGGCCTGCTGAAATGCTGAATGCAAAACTAAAAAAAAGGGAGGTGTCAGCCAACATGACATCAGAGTATCGTGTTGTAATCCCTGCGTGTGTGTGTGATTGCCGGCCTTAAGTGTGTGTGGGCGTGCCGGAGAGGATGCTTGCATGTTTGCAGAGTCAGATGGCAACAAGAGCGTGAGACTAAAGGAGGAAAATAAGCAACAGTGTGTTTTCTGCGAGGGGAGGATTGTGAAATTGTGTACATGCAGTTAGTAGAGGAACAAACCCCCCAAAAAGGCTTTAGTTACCGAGCTACCCCTAACCGAGGTAGAACGAAGCACAACCATGTTTTTCCATTACTTTAATATCTGTAATATATGAAACGGATGATTATATACAAATATTTTAATGCAAAATAATGTTTTTTGGTTGATGTATGGAATTTACTTACTTACTTTACTGTACTTAAAGGGGACCTATCATGCAAAATGCACTTTTGTACGTCTTGTCTACATGAATATGTGTCCCCGGTGTTCCAGGGAACTCACCAAGTGTCAGAAAACACAACCCTCTCTATTTTCCTCCATACCCAAATCTCTAAAAAAGGGACTGCAACGGATCTAATAAAAACTGATCCAGATTTGAACACTGTCCTGACGTCAGGACGGTGGCGCTACGGCTATTGGGCCAACTCCACCAATCAGGAGGAGACAGCCACGGCCATTGCCGTTCGAAAGCGCTGGAGACGCTGTAGTACATATGCCAGGCCTGTAGGTGGTGCTGTTCTCACTGAATCAGCCCTTGCTAAAACAGGGATAAAAAAGTGCAAATTGAGCGAAATGAGGCATGGCTAAAATGCATGATCTGTTTGGTATTTTGAAAAAAGTATAAATATGCCTTATATAGGTATGGTCCTACACTATATTATTCAAATATAGCATGATAGGTCCACTTTAAATCATGTTTTATAATTGTTTGTGTGATAGAGATGATGCAATGTTGATTGTTATGTACCTACATAAGGACTGCAGATGGAAATGAGCTATTAAGCTATAATCTGGCATAGTTCATATCTTCTCTTTTCTGAGATTAATGTATTTGTATATATTTTTATATATAACCTTCCCATAACCGAAAATAGTGAACATGTAGGCTCCTCTGAAGGGAACCTTATCACGTGTATCCCTGGAAATAAGGATCAGAATGTCACCACATTTGGTTTCTATGTCCAGAGTGAGGCAAAGCATACACTGTACTATGTGTGCAGGAGAAGGAGAGCGTGTTTGTGGTGCTGGGTTCAGTTTTTTCGGAGGGTCCCACCCACACTCTGTCCGGTGGGCCAGGGGAGCGCTGGAGGGAAGCCAGAGCCAAGCATGAGACTGATCGAAAACAGATAGAGCCCGCCGCTATAAATCACCACGGTGGAGCAAGACCTTCACATAGCTCACGCTCACACACACACACACACACACACACACACAGCAGGAAATGAAATGTGGCAACTCGAGTGAAAAGCCCTGCTGCAATCCCCCTGGGAATAGAGGGGAGAAAAATCACTGTCTTCTTATTTCTCTTACACTCCCTGTCTCCAAGACACCCTGTTTGTTGTCTCACACACACACACACACACACACACACACACACACACACACACACACACACACACACACACACACACACACACACACACACACACACACACACACACACACACACACACACACACACACACACACACACACACACACACACACAGTTTTATGTGGAAGAGCATCAACAGAAGGACTGAGCGACACATTTACCTATCCTCTTCATTGTTCAATTCCCTCTCCTGTGTTGTCTTCTATACGTTTTAGTGCATGTAAATGGTCTGTGGCTCAGTGGATAGTGTGCGGGACTTCGGATCATGGGGTAGCAAGTTCGAGTCCAACTGCAGTCAGCATGTCGTTGTGTCCCTGAGACACTTCAGCCCAAATGGCTCCTGTGGGGACTGTCCACAGTACTGCTTTGGATAAAAGCGTCTAACAAGTGACATGTAATGTAATGTAACGTCTGCAAGTGGTAACATCCCTGTGTCTCTCGACCACACACTAATCCCCCACTTGTACTTTATAGTGTAGGCCTATGTGACAATAAACAAGAGCTTTTGAATCCCTGTAAAATGTGCTTTAATAGAGAAGAAGGTACCTAGCTGTGATTTAAACACAGTCTCAAAAACTGAAATAAAAGCTCTTGTTTTCTCTAAAACACACATCACTGTTTATCACATAAAAAATGTCACAATCACTCCGATGCCAGCGCTTATTTTTGACTGATTCCCCTGCAATGCTGCAAACTTATTCAGTCCTTCCCACTTCTCATCAATAAAGTCCAAACTGGAAACATCTTCCCTGCAGCAGAAAACTGAGAGCAGCTGTATATGTTGTGATGGTGTTTATGCAACACACATTATTCAGACATCAGTGTGTGTGTGTGTGTGTGTGTGTGTGTGTGTGTGTGTGTGTGTGTGAGAGTGAGCGTCTGTGCGGTTTGGGCTCTAACTTTAAATAGGTAATTAGCAGATAGTTACGCGCCTCGTGCTGCGTGTGAGATAAACTGCCGCACGCCAACAATGGGAACGATCTCCAAATAAGGAATATTTGTTTCCCACGAGGCTCTGCTGCACTGCCTCAGCTGTTGGGCAATGCCTGCGCTACCATAGAAACCACAACCACCAAAATACTTTTATCCTGGAGAACAATCACGCAAGCGTAAACATAATTTAGATGATATATATTTCAGGGAATTGGACTAAATCGAACATGCGAGTGCTATAAAAGTCGTGGCAGCGGCTCAGCGCTCATCTGGATTCTGTATATGGATTCTGACCAGCAACTAGAACACAGTTTTACCAACATGATGTGCACTTTCTCTGCAGAAACATCACATTCACACCCCTCTGTGGATACCCCCCGCTAGGGCTGTGCGATTATGGCAAAAATCATAATCACGATTATTTTGGTCAATAATTGATATCACGATTATTAAATACGATTATTCATTGACTTTGAAAAATTCCATTTATTGAACTTTAAAACACAAATAATAATTTGAACAGTATCTTTTTAACTGTTGATTACCCTGAACGTATAATTCAACTGAAAAACCAATACAAAAATAAATAAAATAAATGATACATTTAAATAAATAATATCAAAATAATAAATACCAATAAACAAGATCAACAAATATTTTGGAGCGCACTTCCACAAGCTACTAAACATATATAAATATGATAAATACAAATGAATTAGATCAAATATGTTGCACTGTCACAACCTAGCAAAGCAAAATAATAGTTTTTTTCGATTATGTTGCTTTCGTATTTGTGGCAGGCCAAAATCGTAATTGTGATTAAAATACGATTAATTGCACAGCCCTACCCCCCGCTGCCAAAATCTAACACCCGCGTGACGACAGCACATTGAAATCTAATCAGTTCTTTTTCCACATTTGTCCCCCAAACTGCTCCTTCTCTCGCTGCTGACATTTCACTCTGCTGGCATCCTCTTATCAAGCCAACAAATCAAGCTCGAGATAGTACGATGTTCTGCGTACGCTATGAATTCCTTGCATAACTCACTAAAACCTGTAATAAATATTAACTTAATTCATGCCACACCATGTGGAATAAACGGAAAAATAGCCTCGCTGCCAAACATCTGAAAATAGAAGCCTCGGAGAAGAGAGCCCTTTCAATATTTTAATTTTAAACAGCCATCTAAACAGAAACAGCTGATCGAGCCCAGCTGCTTCCTCTTCTATAAATGAAATGTCCCTGAAGGCCTCACATTCCCATGTTAATTCATACATAAATCCAGCCATGCATCTCTTTTCTGTTATTCTTAAGCATGTCTACGAGGGGAGGATGACTGAAGAGGCCGTGTCTCTGCTTTGGATTCATTTCTGGCAGAGACAGATGAGCTGAGACTGAGCTGCATGTTTACATTTCGTCAAAAAACAACAGATTATTGTCAGCTCGCTGCAGAAAGAGGGATCTCATATGTCGCAGCACTTGTGATAAAAAGGGTCTGGTGAGACGGTTCAAGCTTTCTGAGGCTGTGAACATGCACAGAGCTGCTTAGCTTTGAGCGGTTTGCTAACGTGATACAAGGTTTTACACAACAATGCTAACGTGCAGATGTGTAGCAGGTATAATGCAAATTATGACACCTTTGTTAAGCTTGTTACCATACAAACATTTGTTAATTAGCGCTACAAACATGGACATTTACCTCATGTAAAGCGACTCTAAGTAACTATTTTCTATCTCTCTAAAGATAACGCTGAGCAGCATGCATGGGAATGAACTATTATATTGTGAGTTTAATTATATTCCTCCCTTTTGTCCTGGTCTTATACGCTGCTCAATCTGGCAAAAAAGACCCATAGATGGCAAAACTGTGTGTGTGTGAGGCTGTGACAATAACTGTGTGTGTGTGAGGCTGTGACAATAACTGTGTGTGTGTGAGGCTGTGACAATAACTGTGTGTGTGTGAGGCTGTGACAATAAGTGTGTGTGTGAGGCTGTGACAATAACTGTGTGTGTGTGAGGCTGTGACAATAACTGTGTGTGTGTGAGGCTGTGACAATAAGTGTGTGTGTGTGAGGCTGTGACAATAACTGTGTGTGTGTGTGAGGCTGTGACAATAACTGTGTGTGTGTTTGAGGCTGTGACAATAAGTGTGTATGTGTGTGAGGCTGTGACAATAACTGTGTGTGTGTGAGGCTGCGACAATAAGTGTGTGTGTGTGAGGCTGTGTCGATAACTGTGTGTGTGTGAGAGGCTGTGACAATAAGTGTGTGTGTGTGTGTGTGAGGCTGTGACAATAAGTGTGTGTGTGTGTGTGTGAGGCTGTGACAATAACTGTGTGTGTGTGAGGCTGTGACAATAACTGTGTGTGTGTGTGAGGCTGTGACAATAAGTGTGTGTGTGAGGCTGTGACAATAACTGTGTGTGTGAGGCTGTGACAATAAGTGTGTGTGTGTGTGAGGCTGTGACAATAAGTGTGTGTGTGTGTGAGGCTGTGACAATAACTGTGTGTGAGGCTGTGACAATAAGTGTGTGTGTGTGAGGCTGTGACAATAACTGTGTGTGTGTGAGGCTGTGACAATAAGTGTGTGTGTGTGAGGCTGTGACAATAAGTGTGTGTGTGTGAGGCTGTGACAATAACTGTGTGTGTGTGAGGCTGCGACAATAACTGTGTGTGTGTGAGGCTGTGACAATAACTGTGTGTGTGTGAGGCTGTGACAATAACTGTGTGTGTGTGAGGCTGCAACAATAAGTGTGTACATTTTAGACCAATCGATGGATATCTCTATTAAAGTACTTTAAACTACATCAACATTGTGTAAATAAGGGTTTCCTTTGTACCCCAAGATAAACTGTGTGTGTGTGTGTGTGTGTGTGTGTGTGTGTGTGTGTGTGTGACAGTGAGAAAAACTGTGTGTGTGTGTGTGTGTCAGTGAGAATAACTGTGTGTGTGTGTGTGTGTGTGTGTGTGTGTGTGTGTGTGTGAGAGACAGTGAGAATAACTGTGTGTGTGAGGCAGTGAGAATAACTGTGTGTGTGTGTGTGTGTGTGTGTGTGTGTGTGTGTGTGTCAGTGAGAATAACTGTGTGTGATGTAGACTATTGTGCAGCACATGCATGTACAGTCTGTAGTACTTTAAACTACATCAACATTGTGTAAATAAGGGCTTCCTTTGTACCCCAAGACAAACTGTGTATGTGTGTGTGTGTGTGTGTGTGTGTGTGTGTGTGTGTGTGTGTGTGTGTGTGTGTGTGTGTGTGTGTGTGAGAGACAGTGAGAATAACTGTGTGTGATGTAGACTATTGTGCAGCACATGCATGTACAGTCTCTAGTACTTTAAACTACATCAACATTGTGTAAATAAGGGCTTCCTTTGTAACGTTGTGTGTGTGTGTGTTACTTTAAAGCTCTGGTGCATTTTCACGACTCTTTATCTTATTTTGTCTGCAGCTGCGAGACACTCGACTAAGTGAGATATATCTCTCTTCTTATCACATCATCATATATCCTGCCTCACCGTTTTCTGTGTGTAGGATTATATGTGTGTGGTGTGTGTGTGTGTGTGTGTGTGTGTGTGTGTGTGTGTGTGTGTGTGTGTGTGTGTGTGTGTGTGTGTGTGTGTGTGTGTGTGTGTGTGCTTGTGTGTTAATCCTGAGTGAAAGGCTAGTTTTTCTTCTCGCGCAGGAAGGCAGTGGGGGGACTCCCCGGAGGGCCTCAGTGTGAAAGAGGCTGAATTCGCAGGCTCCCCACGAGGAACACGGCCCATTAAGCTGACAGTCAGGAGCCCATTGACCAGTCACAGAGATTAAACGCCGGTTCGTCTCGCGCCTAAAACCACCTGCGAGACGTTGGAGGAAACGGACGGAGACACAGGGAGACGTGCGGATACTCACTGTTACTCGTCGCTTCGGTAAATGACGCCTTTTGTCCGTTCCAGCCTTTGTTGTCCATCTGCGGGGAGAAAAAAAGGGGGGGGAGGTAAGAGAGATGTAGGTTTTCTTGAACAGACAGCTTCTTCACGCATGTCAGACGAGTTCCTTCCTACTGTTCGGGCCACAAAGAGACGTCGGCTCACAGGAGGGGAAGCTTAAGGAGCCTAGTGTCTGTCTACCAGGGCCAGATACTTAATTAGGGGGGTTGTTGTTCCCATTCAGCGCCTTACTTCTGCTGTGCTGTGCACGTCTGCAGAAACACCAACACACGTGAGCGGAGCGGAAAAACAAATCCTGACGAGCCGAGGAGATGACATGACAACAAATGCACCCCCACGTTTCTGCAGCCACAATCCCACGGTGGGAATGCAGAGAGAGAGAGAGAGAGAGAGAGAGAGACGACCTATTCTGCGAAACAGGAGTTTGGAAAACACTGTCTGGGTTGTCTGAGGATCTGATGAGAAGTAGGCCGTCCAACTGATTCCCATCGAGGTGTTTTCACAGTTTTCAGACCAATGCACGGCCACTAACTCTAAATAATCTTTCTGCAGTGTAACCAGGAAGCTCGAGACAGGATTTATCTTAAACTGCAGCAGCCTCTCATTTATCTGAAACCTTAGACATCAAAACAAAGTGTGGTAGAAAGGATAAACATGCAGTGATGCAAGCAGAAATTCAATAACCTGCGTGCAACATTTGGTATTTCCTTGTCCAAACAGATTGAGTAATGTCCTGATGCTTTAGAAGATTTCAATATAAAAGGCAGCTTAAAAAAAAGTCAGAACAAGCTCAAATATCACCTAGTTTGGACGTCATTTCTTACCTAAGTTGGAGTAGTGAACTATTAAGATTATAAGAATTACTCTAGGCTATTGTTGACATGTAAAGGCTGATAGATGTCGATAGATGTTGGGCCTTCGATGAGCGTTGTGTCGCCCTACTCAGATTGGTGTGTCCCGCACCGTCGTGTCTTTTCGGCCGTGCCGACACCTTCCGCCGCCGATTCGATTTGTTGAATCGGGAGGCCGTCGGCCAAAGAAATCACTCTGATTGGCTGTTCAGCTAGCGAATCAGTGCATGAGAAGCGAAACGGAAGTGAGGGACCCAAACAAACTATTGAGAAGGCAAATCTGAGATTTCATTTAACTCCAGCTCTCGACACAGGTTCGGGAAAGCCCAAGCCCCCAGGAAGTGCGCCGGACTCTGAGGAAAATATTAGTTGTGGCCAAACGGCGGTACTACACTTCTGTTTGGGTTGCTGGGCCCGGAAACACTTTTTCCCATTGACTTACATTGGGAAAGAAACGTCTGTAAATCGTTTGATAATTTTGTTTAAACTAAATAAACTACCCAGTATGAACACTTGTATAGCCCTTATTAAAAACATTCGGTCCTTAAGTTGTAAAATGTGCTAATAACGTTATTCTGAGAGATATTTTCCTCGGCATTATGAACGCGCATCTGAGAGTGGGAGCTCGTGGGCGGGGCTTAAGGGGCAACTCAACTGCGCATGCTCTATGAGCGCACATACTGGTACTTCTGCTCCGACAGCTAGGCATGATGGGTAATCTGTGACGTTTCGCTCTCTCAAAAGCTGGGCCATTTTGTCCTCGTGCGCCAATGAGCAGCTCTCATAGGAAAGAACGAGACCCCGCCTCCCACGCTGTATCCAGTTCTTATTATACATCCATGAGAAAGCCCCATGAGCTTCTCGCTGTAGAGTGAAAATGGAACGCACACGCTATTTGTTCATATCACGCAGTCTGTTCTTCTTCTCTCGGTGTATCACGCAGTCTGTCTTCCGGTTGCCTCTTTTGAATGACGAATACACACTACCGCCGCCTGCTGGTAAGGAGAGTTATTGCCACTCACGCATGCGCAGTTCGTACGTGCTTCTTGGCCGTCGGCTGAAGTCTTCGCGGTGTGTTCCAGTGCGACTGTTGGCCAAGACGCAGAGATGTGAGGTGACACAACAGTCGGGTCCGTCGGGACGTGTTCTTTGGTGTGTAAGAGGCTTTATGTGCACACTCTATTGAGGAGGCTGTATAATTATCACCTAATCACAATGTTTTGTCCAAGTTTACGTAGTTTTTTTGATGAATGTGATTTATGTTAGCTATTTTAGCTGTTCACTATTGTTTTGCAATGTGTTCAAGGACAATCGGGCACGAGAGAATAGTTTGTGCACACTATTTGTGAGCGAAACCTCATTTTCTGCAACTATATTTTGGTCAGTGTGGTCACTCAGATGATCTTTACCTCTTTGTGGTGCAACCCAACATCTCTGCAGCTTCAGTGTCTAGTTCAAAGCTAACTTTAAGTGTTGACTTTGCACTCTAACTTTATGAATAATTACGTGGAGCTGCTGCAGAGGATGAGGATGAGGATGAAGGGCAATATGGACGGCACACTGCGTCCTTCTTTAGTCCTTCACTTCACAGAGATAAGAGCATCCTATATGGCATGGCTGTCTGAATTAGATATATGCAGCAGCACATATCTAACTAATGAGCTGTCGGGGGATCGTGCATGTTTACATTTCGCCTCGTTATGTAACAGCATCTCCATCTCAATCTGCTCCCTGGAGCTGAGGATGCAGCGAGGTGAATAAAGATGAAGTCGTTACGTAAGAGGTGGAAGTTAGTGACTCGTGATGTGAATCTGAGAGATATCGACTGGGTGTCTTCAAGTCAGACTGTGCACTTCCTTATGTAACCCTTCAGCATGCAGAAACTATTATATGACCAGATTCAATATGCTCCTTAGATAACTTTTTATTTTACTCCTCATAGCTTTGTGAAGCACCTTGAGATGACGTTGTTTTTTAAAGTGTGCTATAGAATATAAATTAAATGTATTGACTGACTGACTGACTGACTGACTGTCTGTCTGTCTGTCTGTCTGTCTGTCTGTGGTCCAGTAAATATTTAGCCTCAGAGGACGATGGCGATTCTTTTAGGATCCACTCATTGTTTACAGTCTGGATTTAAAAGTTAAACAGACACTAAGGATGTTTCATGATTTAGTGAATTTTTTAAATAGGAATTAGATAACATCACATCCAATAGTTTTAGAGTTATCTCAGATTGACTAAATGACTAATAGCAATGCATCCTCTGGAAGCAGGCAATATGCTGAGGCTTTTTGTGTTGCCAGCAGATATTCAAACTAGATCTGGAAAGACTGGATCTGTAGTTAGACGGGTCATAATTAAGAACATTATCAAGTAGTCATTGCTTAGTAAAACAAATGTAAATGTGACCATGCTCTTGTCTTCTTGTTTTAATCAGCATGGCAGAGTTATTGAGTGGCTTGGAGTGAAAATGATGAACGCTGTGCTCGTGCATTTCAGACGTCGTTTTACATCACAGGCGTTTAGCTCACACTTTAATCGAAGCGACTTCAAAAACGTGAGTGATATTAAGTGGTAAAACGTTTGTCTGTTTTCTGCACAGAGGAGGTGTTATCAGGAGGAGGGAGGAGGTGTTATCAGGTGTGAGGAGGTGTTATCAGGAGGAGGGAGGAGGTGTTATCAGGAGGAGGGAGGAGGTGTTATCAGGAGGAGGGAGGAGGTGTTATCAGGTGTGAGGAGGTGTTATCAGGAGGAGGGAGGAGGTGTTATCAGGTGTGAGGAGGTGTTATCAGGAGGGGGGAGGAGGTGTTATCAGGAGGAGGGAGGAGGTGGTATCAGGTGTGAGGAGGTGTTATAAGGAGGTGTTATCAGGTGTAATAAGGAGGTGTTATCAGGTGTAATAAGGAGGTGTAATAAGGAGGTGTTAACAGGTGTAATAAGGAGGTGTTATCAGGTGTTATAAGGAGGTGTTATCAGGTGTTATAAGGAGGTGTTATCAGGAGTAATAAGGAGGTGTTATCAGGTGTAATAAGGAGGTGTAATCAGGTGTAATAAGGAGGTGTAATCAGGTGTAATAAGGAGGTGTAATCAGGTGTTATCAGGAGTAATAAGGAGGTGTTATCAGGTGTAATAAGGAGGTGTTATCAGGAGCAATAAGGAGGTGTTATCAGGTGTAATAAGGAGGTGTAATCAGGTGTTATCAGGAGTAATAAGGAGGTGTTATCAGGTGTAATAAGGAGGTGTAATCAGGTGTAATAAGGAGGTGTAATCAGGTGTAATAAGGAGGTGTAATCAGGTGTTATCAGGAGTAATAAGGAGGTGTTATCAGGTGTAATAAGGAGGTGTTATCAGGAGCAATAAGGAGGTGTTATCAGGTGTAATAAGGAGGTGTAATCAGGTGTTATCAGGAGTAATAAGGAGGTGTTATCAGGTGTAATAAGGAGGTGTAATCAGGTGTTATCAGGAGTAATAAGGAGGCTGTTATCAGGAGCAATAAGGAGGTGTTATCAGGAGCAATAAGGAGGTGTTATCAGGTGTAATAAGGAGGTGTAATCAGGTGTTATCAGGAGTAATAAGGAGGTGTTATCAGGTGTAATAAGGAGGTGTAATCAGGTGTTATCAGGAGTAATAAGGAGGCTGTTATCAGGAGCAATAAGGAGGTGTTATCAGGAGCAATAAGGAGGTGTTATCAGGTGTAATAAGGAGGTGTAATCAGCTGTTATCAGGAGTAATAAGGAGGTGTTATCAGGTGTAATAAGGAGGTGTAATCAGGTGTTATCAGGAGTAATAAGGAGGTGTTATCAGGTGTAATAAGGAGGTGTAATAAGGAGGATATCTGTACCTCTGTGGGGCTCTGAGGTCCAGTGGAGGCTTTGTATCCGAGCTGTTATCAGGAGTAATAAGGAGGTGTTATCAGCTGTTATCAGGAGTAATAAGGAGGTGTAATAAGGAGGTGTAATAAGGAGGATATCTGTACCTCTGTGGGGCTCTGAGGTCCAGTGGAGGCTTTGTATCCGAGCTGCAGGAGCATCGCCTCCGCTGCGTTCCTCTTGGCCACCTTCTTGTTGGGTCCTGTTCCCGTGGCAACCTCGCCGTTCACCTTCACCTGCAGACAGGTGAGCACACAGGTGAGATAAAGGCATCCAGAATGGTTATATTTTCTGATGTATAAATGAATGTAATGGCTGTACAGATACATGTGTGTGATAATGAATGACTATAATGATACAGGTTGCTCTGACGTCATAAAACAGTCAAAGAATATCAAATATTAATATTATTTTCCACTTTCATCAAGTAAGATCTTCTAACTAACATGAGTCCTAATCAAAACTATCAAATATTAATTTATTTTTGGACTTTTACCCTTTAAATGTCACTTTGTTGACTTCATGCCAAGTGTTTTTTATGGAAACTAACAAACACAAACATGTAATTATCTTCTCAATACTGAATGCTAGGGGAATGTTTACTCAGTATGTGATTTGTATCAAGGATTATCAAAAGAAAAACAGTTATAAAATGTTATATATTCATACTGTCTTCTATCTATATTTTAAGAATAATTTTAGATAATGCCACTGGTATTAAAAATAAGAATTATCTTTTACATCTCAGGTGAAAACATGGCTCAATCTGGTGGAAATTACAATTAAAATGGAGGGCTTTAGATGTAATAGAAAGCACAATTTAATGCTGTGGGATCAGAATGTGTTTCCATTGATATGTCTTAGTGGCTAGACACTTTATAATAGACTTATTACAGAGGCTGAAAATTGAAATATAAACTCCCTGCGTTGCCAAAATGTTTAAAAATCCCTAAAATCATGATTTCCCGTCACTTTCATTCACTCTCCTCCTCTAACGCTCCTCCGTACGCTTTGCCTCCCGCAGAAACGCTGCGAGTGAAGTGTTTGTTTTGCATTGATCCCAAAACATTAAATCTGTCGGCGCAGAATGTAAGCAGAGGAATTTCCAAGAGAATATCAGCCGTCGTCGTGTTATGCAAACAGACAATTACACTGAACAAATAACATGGTGTGGAGCCAGAGCCTGTGAACAAGCTGCTGGAGCATCGAGGAGGCGAAACAACCAGGGAGAGAGAGACCCATCAATTACAGGAAAGCACAAATACACACAGTTGCTATTTATCAGATTCTTAAAGATGATCCCACTGCGTCACGTTCATCTCAGGCTGCAGGCTTTCTCTGTAAGTGACTCAATAAGAGAGACTCAATAAGAGAGACTCGATAAGAGAGAAAGAGTGACTCAATAAGAGAGACTCATTAAGAGAGACTCATTAAGAGAGACTCGATAAGAGAGACTCAATAAGAGTGACTCAATAAGAGAGACTCAATAAGAGAGACTCAATAAGAGAGACTCAATAAGAGAGACTCAATAAGAGTGACTCAATAAGAGAGACTCAATAAGAGAGACTCAATAAGAGTGACTCAATAAGAGACACTCATTAAGAGTGACTCATTAAGAGAGACTCGATAAGAGAGACTCAATAAGAGTGACTCAATAAGAGAGACTCAATAAGAGAGACTCAATAAGAGAGACTCAATAAGAGTGACTCAATAAGAGAGACTCAATAAGACAGACTCATTAAGAGTGACTCAATAAGAGTGACTCATTAAGAGAGACTCATTAAGAGTGACTCAATAAGAGTGACGCAATAAGAGAGACTCAATAAGAGAGACTCAATAAGAGAGACTCAATAAGAGTGACTCAATAAGAGAGACTCATTAAGAGTGACTCATTAAGAGTGACTCAATAAGAGAGACTCATTAAGAGTGACTCAATAAGAGTGACTCATTAAGAGTGACTCATTAAGAGTGACTCATTAAGAGTGACTCAATAAGAGTGACTCATTAAGAGTGACTCAATAAGAGTGACTCAATAAGAGAGACTCATTAAGAGTGACTCATTAAGAGTGACTCATTAAGAGAGACTCATTAAGAGTGACTCATTAAGAGTGACTCAATAAGAGAGACTCATTAAGAGTGACTCAATAAGAGTGACTCAATAAGAGAGACTCAATAAGAGTGACTCATTAAGAGTGACTCATTAAGAGTGACTCATTAAGAGTGACTCAATAAGAGAGACTCATTAAGAGTGACTCAATAAGAGTGACTCAATAAGAGTGACTCAATAAGAGAGACTCAATAAGAGAGACTCATTAAGAGTGACTCATTAAGAGTGACTCATTAAGAGAGACTCATTTAGAGTGACTCAATAAGAGTGACTCAATAAGAGAGACTCAATAAGAGTGACTCATTAAGAGTGACTCATTAAGAGAGACTCATTAAGAGTGACTCATTAAGAGAGACTCATTAAGAGAGACTCAATAAGAGTGACTCAATAAGAGTGACTCATTAAGAGAGACTCATTAAGAGTGACTCATTAAGAGAGACTCATTAAGAGTGACTCATTAAGAGTGACTCATTAAGAGAGACTCATTTAGAGTGACTCATTAAGAGAGACTCATTAAGAGTGACTCAATAAGAGAGACTCAATAAGAGAGACTCATTAAGAGTGACTCAATAAGAGAGACTCATTAAGAGTGACTCATTAAGAGAGACTCAATAAGAGAGACTCATTAAGAGACTCAATAAGAGTGACTCATTAAGAGTGACTCATTAAGAGAGACTCATTAAGAGTGACTCATTAAGAGAGACTCATTTAGAGTGACTCATTAAGAGAGACTCAATAAGAGAGAGACTCAATAAGAGAGACTCAATAAGAGTGACTCAATAAGAGAGACTCATTAAGAGTGACTCAATAAGAGAGACTCATTAAGAGAGACTCAATAAGAGAGACTCATTAAGAGAGACTCATTAAGAGTGACTCAATAAGAGAGACTCATTAAGAGTGACTCATTAAGAGAGACTCATTTAGAGTGACTCATTAAGAGAGACTCAATAAGAGAGAGACTCAATAAGAGTGACTCAATAAGAGAGACTCAATAAGAGAGACTCATTTAGAGTGACTCAATAAGAGAGACTCATTAAGAGTGACTCAATAAGAGAGACTCATTAAGAGTGACTCAATAAGAGAGACTCAATAAGAGAGACTCATTTAGAGTGACTCAATAAGAGAGACTCATTTAGAGTGACTCAATAAGAGAGACTCATTAAGAGAGAGACTCAATAAGAGTGACTCAATAAGAGAGACTCAATAAGAGAGAGACTCAATAAGAGTGACTCAATAAGAGAGACTCAATAAGAGAGACTCATTTAGAGTGACTCAATAAGAGAGACTCATTAAGAGTGACTCAATAAGAGAGACTCAATAAGAGAGACTCATTAAGAGAGACTCAATAAGAGAGACTCATTTAGAGTGACTCAATAAGAGAGACTCATTAAGAGTGACTCAATAAGAGAGACTCAATAAGAGAGACTCATTTAGAGTGACTCAATAAGAGAGACTCATTAAGAGAGACTCATTAAGAGTGACTCAATAAGAGAGACTCATTAAGAGTGACTCATTTAGAGTGACTCAATAAGAGAGACTCATTAAGAGTGACTCAATAAGAGAGACTCATTAAGAGTGACTCAATAAGAGAGACTCAATAAGAGAGACTCATTTAGAGTGACTCAATAAGAGAGACTCATTTAGAGTGACTCAATAAGAGAGACTCATTAAGAGAGAGACTCAATAAGAGTGACTCAATAAGAGAGACTCAATAAGAGAGAGACTCAATAAGAGTGACTCAATAAGAGAGACTCAATAAGAGAGACTCATTTAGAGTGACTCAATAAGAGAGACTCATTAAGAGTGACTCAATAAGAGAGACTCAATAAGAGAGACTCATTAAGAGAGACTCAATAAGAGAGACTCATTTAGAGTGACTCAATAAGAGAGACTCATTAAGAGTGACTCAATAAGAGAGACTCAATAAGAGAGACTCATTTAGAGTGACTCAATAAGAGAGACTCATTAAGAGAGACTCATTAAGAGTGACTCAATAAGAGAGACTCATTAAGAGTGACTCATTAAGAGAGATTCATTTAGAGTGACTCATTAAGAGAGACTCAATAAGAGAGAGACTCAATAAGAGAGACTCAATAAGAGTGACTCAATAAGAGAGACTCATTAAGAGTGACTCATTAAGAGAGACTCATTTAGAGTGACTCAATAAGAGAGACTCAATAAGAGTGACTCAATAAGAGAGACTCATTAAGAGCGACTCAATAAGAGAGACTCATTAAGAGAGACTCATTAAGAGAGACTCATTTAGAGTGACTCATTAAGAGTGACTCAATAAGAGAGACTCATTAAGAGAGACTCATTAAGAGTGACTCAATAAGAGAGACTCATTAAGAGTGACTCATTAAGAGAGACTCATTTAGAGTGACTCATTAAGAGAGACTCAATAAGAGAGAGACTCAATAAGAGTGACTCATTAAGAGTGACTCAATAAGAGAGACTCAATAAGAGTGACTCAATAAGAGAGACTCATTAAGAGTGACTCAATAAGAGAGAGACTCAATAAGAGAGACTCAATAAGAGTGACTCAATAAGAGAGAGACTCAATAAGAGAGACTCAATAAGAGTGACTCAATAAGAGAGACTCAATAAGAGTGACTCAATAAGAGAGACTCAATAAGAGTGACTCAATAAGAGAGACTCATTAAGAGAGACTCATTAAGAGTGACTCAATAAGAGAGACTCAATAAGAGTGACTCAATAAGAGAGACTCATTAAGAGAGACTCATTAAGAGAGACTCATTAAGAGAGACTCATTAAGAGTGACTCATTAAGAGAGACTCAATAAGAGACTCATTAAGAGTGACTCAATAAGAGAGAGACTCAATAAGAGAGACTCAATAAGAGAGACTCAATAAGAGTGACTCAATAAGAGAGACTCATTAAGAGAGACTCATTAAGAGTGACTCAATAAGAGAGACTCAATAAGAGTGACTCAATAAGAGAGACTCATTAAGAGTGACTCAATAAGAGTGACTCAATAAGAGAGACTCATTAAGAGAGACTCATTAAGAGAGACTCATTAAGAGTGACTCAATAAGAGTGACTCATTAAGAGTGACTCAATAAGAGAGACTCAATAAGAGTGACTCATTAAGAGTGACTCAATAAGAGA